TGCATAAAAAAAAAATCTTACTTAAGGATATCTGAGTCAGAAAGCTTTGGAGTCCTGATTTATTATGATCCAAACCCAGTGAGACTCATCTCTAATATTACAATTTCAGTAGATACATGATTCAGTTACACAACTAAAATGTAGAACTTATTTCATTTTCTTGCCCTCACTGACATAACCTTTTTCTGTTCATGGGGAATTTCACACTGTAAAAAGCTCATTGTCAACAGATTGAAGACAATTAGGAATATTCCTTCCTTATTTCTCTGTTGTGTATTCTAAAAATAATAGTGTAGTCCCATACTACACTCTGTTCTGTCAACATTAATTTTGAGCTGTGATGTGTATACAGCTCATTTTTATCTCAGTTATACTATCTTTTTTGTAGTGTTAGTGTTGTTATCAAAACTCCAGAATTAAAATATGGGGTACTTCTAGGGACAAGAAATTTTTCTTATTTGAGGAGCAAACTATGGAAAATGACAGAAGAGAATTGTTTTGGTGCTAATAAAGTGTACCTTTTGCTCTGCTTAGTATGCAGCAGTGCAGAGTACAGTTTTCCAGACTGCAAGCCCTGAGGACATTCAAAGAAGTCTGGGGAAAGCAGGGGAGACAAAAATACTCCTTTGCTTTGCCACTTCCACTTACAATTGAGCTTAAGCCCAACTGCTGGCAGTTCATGAAATAGACAGGAAAGGTTTCTTTGTGAGGATCTGAAATGGTAATGATTCTGCAAATAAGAAAACTGTCCTGTTGTAATATTTAACTATCAAAATTCTGTTGCTTTGGTTATACTGGTGAAGTAAGAGGTAGAAAAAGTATCTTCTCCCTTGAAAATACTTGTGTAAGAAGTAATGGCAAAAGAGCTACTAAGACTCCTGTGGTGCTTGGAAGTAAATGTTAGACATTCACCTTTGATACATTCTTTTCCATATTCTTCCATTTTCTTCTCACGTTATATGTGACATTTTGACCCAAAGAGTTGTTGTTGCAATATTATTGTATACTATTAAAGAAGAGAGAAGTGATTTCACAAAAGCAGAGAAGTAATTCATATGTATTAGTTACCTTCATCAGAAGAGGGTGACAGGGATTCACTAGTAAATTGTATTAATACCCTGCATGAGAGGTATTACAGGAAAATACAGAAGTGTAGGTTTATTACCATGCCCTGGTAATACTCATTGATCCTAGAAGTTTATTTTAATCCTCTTCTTCAATTTAGGGGCATTATAGTCTCCTATGCTGTGAGCTGCAATATTTAAAACCTCATTAAGCCTATGACCTTGCATTTAACCTGTTTGCTCACTGTTTCATTCTCTGTGGTAGCAAAGTATGTGCTGTAGGTCACTGTATTATTATTGAAATTTAGCCAGCAGTGCACAACCCCATGAATGGAGAAAAGATGCACAGATCCAAGATCAGGACAGAGACGTGAGTATGTCTTTCTTGATGCTGTTGTAGGCAGTCCTACCAATGCCCTCTTATCATGATATTAATAGAAAAGAGCCTAGAATTTGACTAGGCAGTAGAGACAGATACCTGGAAAAGACTACAGACCTGACCATAGAATATGCACACATTTTGGGAGAGACTTATGGTTTAAGGCTCTTCAGAAACATTGTGTAATGTTTGGTGACAACGCATATACCATCTTTATTAAATATTGACAGTTTCCATTTTCCTTACATTTTGATAGCTTGTTCTTTTTCATTATGTTTTTATCTTGTTTACTATAGAAGACAAGTAAACATTTAAATGTTTAAATGATTTAAATGTTGGTGAAATTTATCCAAATACCATTTAAGAACTGTGATTTCTTAAAATAATTATATTACTCCCAAAGTTGGGGTCAATGAAACATGGCTCTGTCAGTCCATAAGCAGTGCATGACTGAAGAACAATTTACAGTATAAATAGTCCTCTGCCTTGGGTCTTTTCACAAGGCTTTATTCAATTCTGCCAGAGACAACATCACACAGCAACAGAAGTTGCTGTAGTGAGAATGAAAGGAACCTGCCCCACAGAGTGGCCCATATACAAGTCCTGGCCAAGGTAATCAACCACCCTTCAAAAAAGCTTGAATTCTTGAGGCATCTGCATTATGACAAAATCTAATGGATGCTCCCACCCATTTCTGTTTGAGAGACAAAGCTGTATAATAATGATCTGAATAGGAGCAATGCTTTATCTGAAGTATTATATACAGTAAAAATGGCGCAAAGGTGCAAAGGTGCAAAAACCACCCTATGACAATATGCTAATATGGTTCACTTTTGGGGATCACTCGGGGCTGATTGCTTAATGGCAAACCATACTGCTAAGATGAAGCTGGCAGAATTCCTGTGTAATGATCTCCTGAAATCTCTTGTTACTACTAAGCTCTGACTGTGTACTGACCCCTCTAGAAGCTCTCCCATCACACCAGGAAAGCAGGAAGTAACTGCTGAGACATGCATGTTCATGTTCCAGAAGTACCTTTGGTACATCAGATACCCTAAGCCTAAAATTAGCCCAGTTTTAAACTTAGATATGGCACTGGCAAACCTTACAATGGGTCACAAGTCAACTACTTTGCTTTTCACAATTTCAGGCAACTTTATTGTGCAAAAATATCAGAACTGGCTTTTAGCCAGTGAAATATGGCTCTCCTGTTTTGATCTTCTGTTATATATCTTGACAGTGTCACCATAAAACACAGACACTGTCCCATTTAGAACACACATAAGTGTGGAAAACATCCACACCCCGAGACATCACACCTCACCCTCAATCCCAGCACTCCTGTCCAGGCCACCATCAACATAGAATCAATTGTCTTCAAGTTGCAACTGTACTTCATATCCCAACAATGTTGCTCTATATATACAATGATCCACCTAATTACTCAGCCACAACTAATAACAGAAAGATTTCTTTTTTTTTTTCCCCTCACAATTATAATGACTCATTCTTAAACATCTGTGTGGGATGATCAACTTTGTTAAATTTAAGACATTTAAACTGATAATGTGAATATGGGAAACTCATAGCTTCCCTGAGCCATGACCTGTGTATCTTTTCCAGAAGAGCAAGAGGCTGATGAGACAGAGCAGAAGATGATAGGCAAAGGGTTAACCCAAGTTTAACAGTGCTGTTGCCAGATGAAGAATTGTTTCCACCTGGTGAATTTTTGCTAAGTGTCAATGTGACCAGTTAAAGTTTTTGTTGCCAGAAGGGATTTATAGATTTATAGTTATGTTGTACCCCCTCATGTGGTTATCAAGGGACAGCTAGAATTGGGACATCTGGGAGGGCTGGCATGTCACTATGGCAACATCTGACCTTCAATCAGGATTTGAGGAAGAGATCTCTACCACTGGACAGTGAAGAAGGGGTTGATGGACAGAACTTTAGGAGGGGTTAAAGGGTTAAAAAGGAAAAAACCTCCATTGTAAGGGGAGCTGAGCACATGGCAGAGAAAATATTTTGCTCCCAGTGCCATAACCTTTTTTCTTTATTCAGTCATCTGTTGTATTTTTGATAAGGTTTAATAAACCTTCCTAAACTATGAAAAGTGAGTAGCTATTTCTCACAGTGGGCCAGGAAATCAGCAACCATTGACATGTGTAGTAACTGCTGAGGAACAGATAGGCAGTTGTGGCCATCCAGAAGCACCGGTGTCATTTTGACACCTGACACACAAATTTCTAGACATATTTGGTTACTTGGCCACTCCTACCTCAGCATTGAACCATCAGCGAGCATCCAAGATGGGCCAGAAGCAGGAGGACAGGCTCTCTGCAGAGCAGAAGGGCTGAGGGAATGGGGGTGCAGCGGCTGCACAGTTTGCAGTGCACGCTCGTGCGTCTCCCTGCAGAGCTCAGACAGGCCCTGCTGCTGTCCGTGCAGCGTCCCAAGCCCAGCTGTAAGGAATGTCACCAGCCACCCCTGGGACAGGAAACAGGACCCCCAACACGTGTAAGTGGCTGTGGGGAGTGTGGTCCCACGGGGAATTGGGGAATCGGGGAGTCGGCCTCTCGGATGTTCCGGCTGCCAGGGGCCCGCAGGGCACTCTGCGCACGGCGGCGTTTACTGAACAGTCTCTGGCAATTTGGACAAGCAGGCAGGTGAATTCAAGCTTGATGTATTGTGTCTTCATGAAGATTAATCAGCTTTAAACTTATGCTCATAAGCCAAATGCAGCATGCACCAACATTATTGTACTTATGTTTCATTTATGTCAACAGGATATTCCTGTTTTCTCTAGTCAAAGTCAGCAATGATACACTTGACTCCTGCTGGCATCTTTCATATTAAAAAGGATTTCTCATTGTACTACCTGGGTCTTATACAGTATAGCTTAAGGCCATGCTTCACATAAAGTGCTTGACGATTCTGAAGTCAACAAGGCAGATTTTTTTTCTAAAGTCCACCGTTTATAACTGAAAAGACGATGAAACCTTTGTGCCCCGAGGAATGCGTTGACCTAGGGTTGTCCGGCGGTCAGTGTGGGAGGCCGAGGCAGCCACATGCCGCTCCCTCCTGAGAACGCCGGTGATGTTGGAATAAGAGCATCCCGACTGCGGCAGCAGCTCCCGCCCCGTTGCCGCCTGGCGACCCCGGGCAGGACCGGGCAGGGCAGGGCTGAGCCACTGGAGGGAGCTGCGCCCTCACTCAAGATGGCGCCTCCAGTGTCTCCGACGGGCTCTGACGTCATGGCTGTCGCTGCCCAATTACTTCCGCCGGCCTCTTTTTGCCCTCAGTGTAGATGGCCGAGCGTGGCGCGGGGTGCCGGCGGCTGCGCTGAGGGTCAGTGTGCGGAGCCGGGCTGGCGGCGGTGGCTGTGCGAGCAGCGCGGAACGGCGAGGCGAGGGGAGGCAGCGTCTGAGGCCGGGCGGGGCAGAAGGAAGGCTCCTCGGAGCGCGGCCTCTTCTGGCCAGCTGGGCACATGCGCGGCCGTGAAATGGCGGCCGGGCCGGGCCCGGCCCTGCCTGCGGCCCGGGCCGGCTGTGGGGTTGGGCAATGCCCCTCTTGCCCACCGCAGGCTGCAGGACCCCAGCCGGTTGTGTCCCAGAGCCCTGGGTTCTCTGAGAGCCGCCGGTGTCTCCGCAAGGAAGTGTCGGTGTGTTCTAACCATTTAGAGGCAAATGAATTAGTTGTAGGACGCTTCTCAAAGTTTTCGTCATAGGGAAAGATTAAATAACCCAAAAATTTCGCCTTTCCACTGCAGCAGCACTTGCTAATTCTTTATTCAAAATAGAAAGGACTGCTTCTGTTTTATAAGATAGTTAAGTATTTGGCATAATCAGAAAACTGTAAATCAAAGGTGAAAGTACTTCCCAGTTATTAACTGCAAATGTTAACCTGCGTGCAGTAAATTGTGTACACAGTGCAAATACACAAAGTTGTGTGTATACATACAGCTTGTTTTAGGGCACCACGTGGCGGCTGTATGGGACTGTTTGTCAGCCACTGTTGGAAGTCATAAGGTTGTTTCTGCCAGCTGTCCTTGTACTGGCAGTATTCATAAATGCTGCGTTGGCATCCATATGTGTGTCAGTGCCGTAAGATGGGGAGGAACTATCATAAGTTGCCCTAATATATCTCAGAAGTTACTTTACGAACTATGATCTGACTTCCTTTTCTTGACAGATGCACCCCAATGGCACACAGCACCGAGTTCCCATGTACAGCTTGAATAATCAGCTCCATATCTGGCTTCTCTTCAGAGCTCACAGTTTTTTGCCAACTTCTAATCTGACACTTCACCAGAAGCACTTCTGAGAGTTTCTAAGTGGTTTTTTACCACATAAACAGGGGTCATAGGGCACTGCTATTATGTCCTGGGTACAAGTAGCAGTCAGCCAATCCAGTGAGGATATATTTGATGAAGATGCAGATGAAATGTATCTACTACAGAAGGAATGGAACAGCACTATGACAAAGAGATTGAAGGTATTTTTTTAAAAATTATTTAATACACTTTTTAGTATTTTAGATTTACTGACATTTAACTTAATATACATGTGAATGACTTAAAGGGAAAAGTAAAACTAGCTGCTTAAAAGTTATTGTGGTGTACTTTCTTCTGAATATCAAGAAAATATGGCAGAAATGTACATAAACACTACTTAGTAGTCACCAGAGGAAAGTACTGTTCTGCCTAAAGACATTGACTCCTTCTGCAAACCATGTCCATTTATAAAAGGCAGTACTGAATTGTGATGCAAGCTACTTGCTTTGTACTTGTAGGTATACCCCTATTAAATGTAGGCCAACAGAGCTGAACAGTGCTAATAAAGAAATGTGAGACATTTGGGGTTTTGAGTAGAGTTGCTTATCAGTCAGAATGTAGGATGTCCCCACGTGCAACCACACTTGGGCGTTGTGGTCTGTGTAGATCTTCGGCTGATGTATTCTCCAAGTGAAATACCCATTTTCTGAAAGCTGGTTTCCACAGCCCTTGCCTCTCTGCAGTTCTGCAGGGAACAAAGCAAGTTCATAAACAGATGAGTTTGACAGATACTGTGTCATGCAGAGTGGGCCTCCTCGGCTCACAATTGAGCAGCATTTGGCTGAAGAGCATGGATGGAAACAGTTGTGTAGGCAGTTGATGAGGAATGGTATTACAGCAGACCCAGTGTAGTTTCCTTCATCTGAGTTCCATGAAATGACTGGTTTTCTTAAGGAACTGTTTAGTGTTCTTACGGAAATCCCTCTGGTATTTTTGAGTAGGTACTGCAAAATTACGCGGTGTTATTGAAGTTGAGTTGTATGTTGGGCAAAATAAATTTTTGTGTTCCAGACCGCTTTTCTAGCAAGCCCACCATGAGCAAATAGGAGTTTTCACTTTTGTAGCTTGTAATTTTGATACGAAAAAAGTTAGGAATTATTCTATTAATCTTGTAATGTTGTTATAATATAAAGAAAGTAATTTGCATTACAATCATTAGCTGTTTACTTAAAGAAAGCAGTCCCCATGTTAAGTGTATTTATATATGACTCAGTCGATCACCAATCACCGTCTCTTTTTCTGGTATAACTCTTGAATGGAGTGAGGTCCAGCAAATAAAGGAGCAATGCTCAGCAGTTAATTTTGTGAAAATAATGGATTCCATGTAGATGGATTACAGATAGAAGAGTACCTCTGCTAAAGGGGAAGATTGGCAGCCTGCATATCTTTTTAGATAGAAGTACCACATACACTTCTTTTTTTTAAGTCCATTTCTCACAAAGCAGTTGATAATCATTAAAAGCAAACATGGGTGTTTTTTTTGATCTTTCTAAAAGAAGTTTCCCTCTTTTCTCACTTTCTGGGAATCCTTTTGGGAAAAGTAAAAAGCTGCATCTTACAGGTCAGTAAATCATAGTATATTGCAACAAGCATGTTTTGGTTTGGCAATGGGGGTGTAGCAGTGAAGGATGTTCAGATACAGAAGCTGTAACTTAGGAGATGTGATACTTGTTTAAACTTTTTTTATTATTATCGTTATGTATTTGTTGGAGGTCCATTTTGTCATGTTGTGACATTGAGCAACCTTTTTCACTGCTTTTGTTACAGGAAGGCTATAGGGATGGAATTGAGGCTGGGAAAGAACTTGCACTCCAGACAGGCTTTAATCAAGGTTACAGACACGGTGCCGAGCTGATGATTAAATGTGGCCAGTTCAAAGGAACCCTGAAGTAGGTTACAGAGTCCTTAAGGTCAAGTATATGTGGAGGGTATGTAGCAGGGGAACACACATACAGGTTTTTGTTTGTTTTAATTAAAAAACAAAACCAACCAAACAAAAAACAAACAACCCCCCCCCCAAAAAAAAACCCCACATTTTGAAACTGTCCGAAGTGAGCAGCCTGAGAATTCCCACATCTTGAGAACAGGGAATGCCTGCCTGGGTGTAGAAGTATAATTTCTAAAAATTCTCTTTCAGTTATTCTTCCAAAATTGTCTGAATCTATGTATTTAAGCTTAATATTTAGTTCTACTGCCTGAATTTTCCATAAATCGTGAATTATACATAAATGTATTTATGATGCATAGATATCTTGTCACATTGCTGTCTATCTACCTCCACCAAGCGGAGATCTACATAGATAAATATAATCACTTTTGTTGTTGTTCACTTTTCAGTGCTCTGTTATCCTGGTGTCATTTTAATGGACATGATTCTGCTCTAAGTATGATAAATAATCTTCTTGATATGGTTGGAAAGCATGAAGATGATGTGCTTAAGTATCTGAATTCTACTGAAGAACAGCCACATCTTGGACACATTTTAGACTCGGTTCAGGACATGGACCTTAATCACACAGCTGGGACAGAGTACAGGGAAGTTAAAGATGGAAAACACAATGACTGTAGCAGCTCCTGTGAAAACATTTGTAGGAATAATGGTGAGGTTGGTCCCTTGCAGTCTGAATGCAGCAAGGCAAACCTCTGCACAGATCCTGAAAAGTCAACCCTTGCTTGGGTTAAAATGCAGACTGTTTGGTTAGTAGAGCAACTGGGCTTATCACTGGATGTACTCCATCATGTCCAGCAACTGGAACATTAGTTTTTCTGTCTCATGGTACTTAAAACTATCACAGTGGATTTTGATTCTTAGTTTGTGGGCCATGTACAGGCTGATGCATCACTTTTGCTTTAGGAAAATCTAATTTGGATGCTTTATAGTAGAAGTCATTTTTGTAAATCCTCGCCATGATTTTGGCTCTGGGCAAAACCCTTCACTTTCAACTTTAAAAGTAACATTCACAGAAAGGGACAGTGACTTTAAAGCTTTACAAAGAGTTGCTAAACATGTTTCTATTTTGTGTCAGGAGGTCCCATTTCACCCTCATTTTTTTCTTGGCAGTAGCTTGGAAATGAGGCAGGTCCATTAAATAGCCCCTCTAAATTGGTCCCCTGCAATATCAAAAGAATAACTGCTCAGTGCTCTGGAAATGGTCAGTGTTTTTGCAAAATAAGCTGCTGATGATGATATGCTGTGTGCAAAATAGAACATGATATGCTGCTGATTCCTAGAATGCTGTGACTCTCTAGTCATGTTTTGTCAAATTCTATGTGTTATCTTTTCTACCCATGATGCAATGCACTTTCATGGTTAAAAACTATTTTTCCCTCCTTGTATAGTTATATTTGTCACTTTTGCTGAAAACATACCATTTTCCTCAAATACAGAATTGCTGTCAATTCACTGTTTTACTTTTAGACATCTACTCTTACCATGTCAGACCACACTAAACATGCTTCCAGTCTAATGAACATCCTTTTGTTATTTTTGTATTTATTTTGTCAGTCCATCTAGCCTGAACTCTTTCCCGCATTCCAATAATGTTTTTCTCAAACTCTTCAAGGAAGCCAAGCTTATTCACTACCTCTTAGAAACACATCAGCCACACATGCCTATTTCTGATCATTTTGTATTTCAGTAACTGTTCTATATTTGACTTGCTTTCCCATTGCTTCTCTTCACTGTAGCTGTAAATTGCTCTGTTCAGGAAGTTTTTTCTTTGTAAATGCCTCTGCTTTACATTAATTAAACTGATTTATAGTAAGTTCCCAGCTTACTTGTTGGAAGTTTCCTGTAACTTGTTCTTATTGGAGACAAAGGAAGTCCAGACCTAGGCAAAGTAAGATTTTGAACAGTAAACTGTAATTAAAAAAAAAAAAAAAACACACAAAGCCATTTCATACTTAAAGGCAGAAAAAATCTAAGGCAAAAATTCCTTGTTTTTCAGAGCCTGAGTTTATACAACATTCTTACTAAAGACTCCATTACCCTGTTAGAGTTGACAGACTGTAATTTTGGTTTCCTTTCTGTACCACTTCTTCTTTAGTGGTAATCAGAACTGCAGTTCAGAGTCTTAGATTGAATGCATTTATGAAATAGTGGACAAAGGGGTGTCTGCATTAATTGTGTATATACAAAAATCATTCAAGTAACTTTTTTCAATTTATTTAGCATAATATTGACAGGGATAAACATTACTTTTCTTCAAATGCCTGCATTGTGTTATAGACTGTATCATGTAAAACACAGATTTCTTCCATATTCTGGTAGAATATGGTGCAAAAAGTGTTGGAATATATATAATTTTCCTAACTAATTTTTAATTAGTTGTTTTATCTAATTGTAAGCAGTGCCCACTTTTAGCCAACACCAGTTAAGTTTCTTCACAGACCTACTTTGATCATTAAATCACTGAAACCTTGAGTTTGTTAAAACTAAGCCTGACTATCTTCAATGAACAAAGCAAAGGAATTTGAAGATTGGGCATCTGGGATCTTGAATTTATGGCACTTCAAGGACATTAGAGTAACCAGAAGATACGGAGGAGATTAAGGCCTGGAAAGTTGGAGAAAAAGATTAAAGAAGGAATAAAGGATGTGGACCAGATTAGCATGAAGAGAAAGAAATAAATAACTAATAGGGGGTAGAATACTAATTCATGAAGAGAATTATGTAAATTAAACCAATGAACATTAATGTCTTAGTTCACAAAAAATGCATAAATAAGCAAAAAAGTTTTGTATCGGGATCAGCATTGAAGCTGGAACTTTGTCAGGAACACATATCTCTTGACCAAGAATAAAGTAATGCCTTACCTTCTAACAATAAAAAAGACAGTGTTAGAGGGAATCTTGTTTACCACTACAATTTTTTAGGCTTTCAGTAACAAGACAAAATAAAAGTTAATAGAACAGTGTTAGACTTTACAGATTTGGATGTTTTAAAATGCAGATTCAAGGGAATTACTTTCCCATATTTAAAAGTTTGCAAAGAGGAGATACCATTCACAAATTACTAAGTAGGCTTCATTTTTGTTTGTAAAACCATCAGGTTTTTTGTTTGTTACATCAGCTTCTGTACTAGCTATGGAATTACTTTTCTCCACAAGGTTTCAGTGCATAGTGAGGGGTTACTTTTTTTCCATGTTATCACCTAGAGTTTCTGGTTTGGCTGTAGAGAGATTTTCTTCTGTACTCTCTGTATCATTTGGCTTATCTTTCACTGCCCAGTCTTGCTGACTAGCACCAGAAGGGCTTTCTTTGAGACTGTCAGAATCTGTAGTTTGCTCCAGTTGTGGTCCACGTTGTTCTGTGTCCGTATCTTGTGTTTCACTGTCAGCTTTCACCTTGGCAGCGTTCCTGAAAACAGCTCTCATGACAACTGGGACTGACATGCAACTGAAGAAGGAAATGACACATTAGTCACAACTACAGACATTATACGATGTTCTTTAAAGTACTTCTGTTTTTTAAACTGTGGCTGACACCTGAATGAAAACCCGCATTAACTCCATTCTGGTTTTGTCTTGTACAACCTGGTGTTACTTTGTAACCATAATACAAACTACATGTGCTGTACCAGAAATATATGTTGACACACTGAAATTTAGTGCTGAGTCTTTGAAGTTAGGTGTGCACAGAAGCTTTGACTGAAATGTGGGAGGTCTTTCAGTCTGGTCAATCTGGTAAACAAAAAAAGTCATAAGGGTACTTCTAGTGAAAACCAAAACTAAGAATATTGAAATATATTAATTCTTCTTGAGTTTTGTAATTGTAACCTTCATGTTTTGTGTAACACAGGTACAGAAGGTGTCTTTTCTAAAACACTGTCTATACTGGAGGAGTTTTTTTCCCACTCTTAACCTGGTTCCAAAAATAGTACCTTATTTAAATTCAGGTTCAAAATCCAACCTGCATTGGTTTTGTTGTCATCAAACAGATAATAGATGTGTACTAGCTTATGCCAAATCACTTAGTGCTCTTAGACTGTTCTGAATCAGTTTGTCTAGCCTATGTTCATGTATTACAACAACTCACTCTCTTGGAATTTGTTCAGAAAACAAGCCAGAGTCAGTGTTGTAGACATGCCATATATAACTCACTTTCTGAAGAGAAGCACTGATTGCTGTTAGGTAGATGTGTAAAAAGACCTTTCCATGCTATTCGAAGTTACACTAGTCATGAGACTGTCATCAGCTAGAGTCTTCAGAAAAGCGTCTTCATAAAAAGTAAAACTCTTTACTCAATAGTCTTTCCTTGCTTTCACATGCTTTCTACTAGAAATATTTCATCACTGTTAATGTTTAAAATTTTTGAAAGAGATACTTAAGACACTGAAATAACTTATTCCCATTATTGTATTACAGCATTTTACTAAAGTGAAGTTTTCCAGTTGCTGCGTTCATGGCATTATGAATGCACATGATATTTCCATTTGATGGACATCTGTTAGGAAATAAAAGTACTTACCGTTTCACAGCTCTTGCTATGAAGTCATCAGTAGAATTTAGAGTTGGATCTTGAGGATTTAAATGAAGGTGACATTTGACTTCTCTAGAGCTTATAACATCAATTACCACTAAGGAGGAACAGAACAAGAAAAATCTTTGGTTTGAAATACTTAGAAACATCAAAAAACATCCTTTGATTTTGATGCTTGAAGAGATGTAAGACTGAAGACAGTGGAAAGAGGTTTGCAGCAATATATTTGCATGAGTTGCTTTTCCTTAATAGACTTAAATCAGAAATAGTGGAAATTACAATTTATTAATTAAATGCAGGCCAAGACAAAACAGGACTTTAATATTTGCATTTACTTTCTGTATTATTCTGAGTACAAAACACTTTCTAGTAAGCAGTTTATACACAAGTGCATGCACTTGGTGTTTTTCCTGGGCTGAACGCTGTTGAGTGGCCCTTAGACTGTTTGTAACTGAGAAACATAGTGCAAGAGCCTAGGTAGAACCAAGTCCCGTCAGCTCAGTAAAGAGGACAGTAGCAATTATTCCATACATACCACAGGCTAAATTCTCTTTCACAGGATGAAGGAAAAAGACAGAAAAGCTGGTGTTCTTGTGTGGTACCACTTCAAAGTAAAGCAGTTCTGAATCATCTAAAAATAAAAATACTGTTTAGTGATATCCACCACTGAAGCTGGGTTCTTTTTGGCTGAATTACATGCCAGAATTTTAAAAATACTGATACAATAGTCTAATTTTTCATGACTTTGACAACTTAATTTATGTACATAGAATGAGCATAGAATATTTGTAAAAATCAATACAGTGTTAAGAATTTTTTATCATTTACTGTACTCCACAAGTAATGACAGTTTTGGCAAGGGAGTAGTAAAATCTGTCAACACCCAATTTAGAAACTAGTTTGTCTCTAATACTGTGCCATCACTTCCAGCCACACAATTTACCTTCATTTATATGCTTCTCAGAGACACAGCTGCTAATAAGAGTGTTATATGCCACTTGATGTCGAAGAATCTCTATTACACCAGGCACACACTTTGGATGGCTAAATGGGATTTTACTGACCAAGGCTCCTGCTAAAACTGATTTTTCTGAGCCCTTGTTTATGAAGTAACAGTGCTTTGGATGATCTGGAAGAGACTAAGCAACAAATAATGGTGATGTTTCAAGGACTGAAAACAGGAAAGTAAAGCTTGATGTTGTCAGGGAATTGTACAATCTACAACAAAAATATTTTTGAAAGATACATTTCTAGCATGTCCATGGTACCTATGCATTTCTAGTACAATCCTTAGTGGAAGCTAAATGAGATCCACTCTCCCTCCCAAATACATCCAAATTAGGCAAATATACCCAGAGCCAAGTGGTCAGGAGTTCAAGTGTCATCAGTTCTTCCAAATACTTTTCAGAGCCCTATAGGCTATAAAAATGTTAGTGACCAAAATAATAATATCAGTAATGCTGCTTGACAGTGGCTTAAACAGGATAGCAGTTTTGCTGCAAATCTCTTCTGGACATCAGATGTTGTTCCAACCTCCATCACTACTACTTTTTCTTTGGAGAGATATGTTTGGCTGGAATACCTCCTGATGATTCACTTGAAGATGAGGAGGAAATAGTAAGAAAAATTTACCACCTGTCCATGTTAACAGTGATTCTATGACAAAATTAGAAATTGAGTATGGTATTATCTACTTCAGGATGCCAAATGGAATGTCCCCTTAAGAACAGGGCAGGGCAGTTAATGAGGAGGACCTACATTAACAAAGGCTAAAGAGCTTTTCCTTGTGTGTTCATGGATCAAACATATTTTCCCTACACCCATTTCAAGGTTAGAATGCAATTTAGTAATTCTAGAAATAAAATCTTAAAATTCAGAAGCAAAACCTCCCACCAAGTACAAATATTTTAGGGAATTGTTGAAAAGTTACAGAGCCTTTCATGTGCATCTAATAGAATTGAAAGATTAATTCCATCTTACAGAAGAAAAGAGCTATGCCAAACATTATTTTAGCATGGTGCAAATTTACTACTACCTTCTGTACCACCACCTCAAGGTCCAAGAACTAAACAGGCAATGAGCTCTACAAACACTAGTAGTAGAACAGAAAAAAAGTACCCTCTTCTTTTGCTGCCATGAATTGCAAAATTAATGTTTCCTAGCAAATAAAAAAGTAGATCTTTGAAGCTTGTCGTGTAGTTGCCCTGTACATAAATCTGGCAGAACCATCTTAGCCGCAGCTTTCTGTTCTAAAACTTTACATCCAATGCAGCCTAAGCAACTGTATTTCA